TAAGGGGTTAGTTCCTAAATAGTAAGTTATAGAGGTAAAAACTAGGTCTTTTTCTTTTTTCCTACTACTATAACTTTAATAGATTATATACCTAGTTTAGTTATTTTATTTATAGTCCCTAGGACGTCTTGTTCTAGTAGTAGTTACTTCTAGTAGTTCCCTTAGGCTTAGATTTATATATATAGTTGTTTCTTAATAAAGTTTAATATATCTTATATATATAGTTACTTAAGTTTCTCTTGTACTATATCTTAGGCTTAGATTAGTTTTAAGATAAGTCACTAGTTATATTATTCTAAAGCTTGTTCTTAGATACCTTATTGCTTTCTAGTAATAGCAATAGTTCTAGTAAAGATATTCTAGAATCCTTTTGTTTATATAGTCTTAGTAAGTTCTAACACTTCTTCTAGATCTAGGGGTTAAGGTTCTACTACTTTATAACTCTAAAGGGTTATATAGAGTTAGAGGTATACCCTAGTTAGTAAAAGGAAGTTTCCTTAGTTCTTTTTTTTTACTTTAACTTATTATTAAATATTCTTCTCTTGTTATTATAGATTTTATAAGGTACTATTTAAGCTTTATAGTACTTATTTATTATACTTACTTAGTACTTAGTAAGTGTTTTTACTACTATACTTTATACTTACTATAATAGTTCTATTCCTAGTTCTTTTGTTAATAGTTTTTTAGACTTCTATTACTATTTAGTATTATTACTTCTTAGCTATAGTAATAATCCTAAGGTTCCTCTTTAGTAGGGTTTTATTAAGTACTACTTGTTAATAAGTATTCCTTGTTGCTACTATTCTTTTCTTAAGGCATTCTTTAATTATATTAAGTTTAAGTATATTAAGTATATCTTATAGCTTCTTAAGAGTTATATCTTATACTATTATAAAGGCTATAATAATATTTTAGTTTTTTTTTCTTATTAGGTTTTTTTCTTCCTATAGATATATTTTTTATCTTTAGCTTCTTAGGATACTATCCTACTTATTCTTTACTGTCTTAGTGTATAGTGTAGGTGTTATTATAGTAGGTAGTCTAGGTTAATTATTAATAGAGGACTTCCTTAGTAGCTATATTAGCTTTCTTAGTGTACTTTAGTAAGGTTTTATATTAAAGTTATTTAGGTTACTTATAGTCTTATATATAGTAACTAGTCTTTTTATAGTTAAAGTATTTAATAGTCTTAAGGTTATATAGTAGTTATTAATCTTACTTATATACTATACTTATATCTATTAGTCTAGTATAGTGTCCTTAAGAGGTACTTGTCTAGTTATTATAAGGTCTTTATTATCTATTAGATGTTTTATTTTATTAGCCTAGTAGCTTTAGTCCTTAGGTATACTTCTTGCCTATGTTTACATTAGGTTATTTTACTTTTCCTTTTTCTTATTATTATTTATATAGTTATATATTAATTTTAATAGTAAGCTTAATATATAATAGGAAATCTTTAGGGAGGTTTATAATTTTAACTAGTTTATCTTTAATATCTTCCTTAAGTCTTTAGTAAAATATAAAAATCAAGGATTCTTAAGTAATATTAAGTCTAGTAGCAAGTCTTTAGAATTTAGCTACATAGTGTAAAGTAGCCTTAGTCTATCTTAGGTTAAATAGTTCTTACTTAGCTTATTACTTCTTATTAAGGTCTTAAAAGAGTAATAATAGCGCTTTCTTAAACCTAGAGTATTTATAAAAGATCTCTTAGGTTTTTATCTTTAGGCCTACCTAGTTATTTATTATATAGTCTATTAAGTAAAGGTTAAACTAGGCTAGTGCTTTTCCCTTAAGGAATAAGGTAGTATAGATAACTTTCTTAGGTTTATCCCTAAAGCTAACGTTATAGAACTAGTAGTACACTTAGACTTAAGTAAGGAATCCTTTTAAGTGTCCTAGGGTTCTATTAAACAGCTATAGATTATTAAGTCTAAGTTTATTTTAACTATTAACTAAGGTCTATATAATATTAGTAGTGCCTTAGAGGGTTTTAATAGTCTCCTTAAGTTCTTATATCTTAGTTAAAGGTTCCTTAGGGATAGCTTTCTCTAAGCGCTTTAGTTTAGCTATATTACTATTAATAACTTTAATAAGTTACTAGTTATATCTAGTATTCCTTTTAATTATTCCTTAAATTATAAGGTACTAATCTATAGTAAGAATAGCCTTACTGTCTTTATTAAATCTTAGATTAGGTAAGATAAATCTATTATTAATCTCTATAACGTCCTTAAGTTCCTTGTCTAGGGAGCACTAGGACTTAAGGGTACTTGTTAAAGGTGTATTCTTAGAGGTTAACATAGTGTCTTTACTATTAGGTAAGTATTAAGGTTAACTTACTTAACAAGAGTAATTAAAGTGTTATAGTTAGTAATCTAATAGTAGGGTTTTTACTAGGAATAAGCTAGGGTTAATACTTAGTTAATAGTAGTATAGGCTTACTAGTCTATTAATTACTTAGTAATTAGTTAAGTAGTTAATAGTTATAAAGGTAGCTTATATAGCTTTTGTTAATTAAATTACTAAGGTAAAATACTAAAAAGTATTTAGAGAATATATTATAAAGTTAATTACTAAAAAGCTATAAGAGTCTGTCCTTAAGTATGTCTAAGTTTATCCTATATATAAGTTTATTCTTCTTGTTAGTATATAAGGCTATATATCTAAACTATAGCACCTGTATATTTTCTATATAGCGTTTATATACTAAGTATATAGCTTCTGTATTTCTAACGTATAGATCTTATCTAATCTTATTGTTATATAACTTATACTATAGTTCTTCTATGTCTATAGGAGTCATCCTGTCTACGCCTATCTGTTAGTTCTATATAAATACTGTTACTGCCTACTAGTTGCTCTACTAAGTAGGGTAATATTACCTATAACTTGTTAGGTTATAACACTACCTATTAATAACTAAAGGGCCTAGTAGAGTATATACTAGGTAATACCTATAATACCTATTAACCTTTAGCTAAGAAATAAATATAGTAATTTCTATAGTAAAACCTATTAATTAGGACCTATTAATCTAAAGTAATTAATGCCTAGTAATAGAAGGCCTATTCTTCTAAGGTTATCTAGGGGTTTTTCTAGCTTCTAACTAGTATTCTTACTATCTAAGGAATCTATTTATCTAACTAATAGAATATAGATAAGACTAGTATTATAGAAGGCAAAAGATCTAATAGGCTAATACTAGGCTCTATAGTATTATAGTATATCTAAAAAAAGTAGCTAGGATCCTAGGCATAGATCTCTATTATTAAGTGTATAGCTACTAATAAGAGGTCCTTATACCTACTAGTTATATATAAGGGTAAATTAGTCTAGGCCTAGTAGTTCCTATTTAACCTATCTAGATATAAAGGATAGTACTTTATATATATAGATAATAGCTAGATAACTAAGAAGACTACCCTTAAGTAACTAAAGAAGGTCTTTATCCTAGGCACTATACCTAGTAAGCTAAAGGTAGCTAGACTACTAGTTCTAGATAGGTATTATAGCTATATATTAATAGACTTTATATAGGAATACTTCTAGAATAATATATATCTATTATATCTACTACTATACTCCTCTATTATCCTTTAGCTACTAGATATATTAGTCTTTAGCCTATTAAAGTACACCTATTAAAGGGAAGTTAAATATCTAGATAACTAGGTTAGTAATTTAACTATTACTAACAAAAGGGTATTTTTAGCCTATTATATAAAGGCTAAAGATATAGCTATAATAGTCTAGAATATTAGAAGTAGCTAGAGGTTAGCTAGACTATAGCTAATATATATATAGTAGCCTCTATTTAACCCTATAGTTACTAAGGACTAATAGACTAGCTAGACTAGCTAGCCTAGTAGCTAATAGTAGGATAAAGCTATATCTATTATCCTATAGTTAACCCCTTATTAGTCTACTAAATTATAGTATTAACTACGCTAGTTAAACTAGTTAGCAGAGGATAAGTTAGATACTTATACTATTTGTTACCTATCTAGAAAGATATAAAAGGGGTATAATAAGTAGGCATCTAGAAACGCGTTTCTAGAGCAAAAGGTCTACTAGCTAGAGGGCAAGTTAGATAACCTACGGTAACACAAGAGGAAAAAGGTCCCCTTATTGCCTAATAGCACCTTTGCTACTATATATGATATCTGGCGGGCGTAAACCCCAGATATCGGCGATATGGATAGTCCGGATGAATCCAGCGCATCCGAATTACCCAGTGAGGCCGGAAGTTGCATATGGGTAGGCGGCAGAGGTGGTGAAATAAGTGGTGATAGTGGTGGTGATGGTGGTGGTGATGATGGGCCGGATGTGGGGGGTAGCCGGAAGTAGGGTAGTTGAGTTACATCGATAAGCATAAGAAATATCTATACGATGACCCGAGGTGATAAAAGAGGAATGCCTTTGAATACCGGAGCCTCTCTGATATCCCACAATCGCATTTAAAGTACTAAGCAAGAGCAACCTGATTCGCCATACAAGGGGTGGGTAGACCAAAGACGTTACGCCAAGTCTTTCTGAACGACATCAGTATTCAATGTCCTGATCATGTTTGAAGCGCTGGATATAATGTAGAAGAGAGCTACTTACTTCTGGGAGTTTCAGTAGGATAGATGACCGCGCCGGTCTCTTGTCAGTCGTCAGAAGATCCTTGCATGTATGCTACTAACTATCCTAGATATTGAAAAATTGTCGCTCATGCTTCATTGTGAAAATGGACGTATAAATAAGCCTTAAGGTATTGCTGTGCCACCAGAGTTTGGGCCTAGGCCTTGTCATGGTTATGCATATAAATAGGTTGCACCTTTCGTGTACCATTCATCAGAAAATCGTCGGTCGAGGCGGCGTTGGACCTACAAAAGAACCAACAAACCCACATATGAGTTTTAGAAAAAAAAAAAAAAAAAAAGAAACACGACGCGTATCGTAGCCGATGCCGAGATGTTTACAACTTCAGACTCGTTGGAACATTGGATCGTACCGCCCGTCCTTCAGGCGTTGAGGGTGAACACCGTGTGAATGAACAAATCTGATGCATTAGCGTGAGAATCTGAGACGGGATGATTTGAGGCGCTGGGTGGGAAAGGGACTAAGCGAATGTGGGTGGTAAGATCCCCATTGGCCTGCAGATCTTTGAGAATCTAACCTCCAATACGCCATCGAGTGTCTGGAACTGTGCTGTACAGTATGCGTAACGTGCAGAAGATGAAGTAAAGCATAAATCGGCTGTAACCGGAATTTGCCGAACATTTTGAAGCACCTTCGACTTGAAAGTTAACTCGGCAACCCAAAGCGCTGTGCACTGTGAAAAAGAGAGGATTAAAATTATGATATCAAGCCTGACACACATATGATGAATGGAGCAGCGGAAAGTTCGGAAGCTTCATTGCATGGTGGTCACGTACGGAGTACGTTCACCATGAAGTTTCGAGTTCAAAATTTGCGCCTGACTCGATAAATAGACATTTGCAATCAACGAGTTGCTAGGCGCATTACCAGCCATGGCTGCGGAGGTTCCGCCCCGTCTCGCCAAGTGCATGCTGCTCGGATATAAGCAAAAAGAGAGGGCCCCGTCATCGTACGAGTGGTCGGTGGCTCTGCTTTATCTTTGAATTTACCCCTTTTACCACGTGATCCTTTGTTTCTTCGTGTTTCCTGTTAACAACGTCGCAGAGTCGGATGGCGAATTTCGATCGCTAGTCGCCTGGTGCACTCTGCTGCTTGCCCTGTTCATAATCCCTCATTCTGTTCTTGTATTCGGTTTGATTGTACATTGCCAGTAAAACCCTTTTTTTTGCTTTCATTCTCCAGCGCCGCAACCATGAGCTCTGGTCTAGTCCCGCGGGACGGGACGCGCGAGGAGCAGGACCCAATGCTCGGGGTCAGATCGTTTTCAGACACCGATGTGGAGGACCGATTGCTCTCCGACGCAGCCGAATTCGGTGAGAAGGACAACCACAAACGCTATGCGGGCCACAAGAAGACCTTCAGGTGGATTATGGTCCTCACTTGCATTTCCATTCTGACACTCATTCCCTTCATCTTTGCTCAATTCTTCAACGTGCAATCCAAGGCGCAGCCATCGGAGCCTTCTCACGATGAAGCAAGCGAACAGCAACAAGAAAGTCCGCCACCGCCGCCGCCAGCGCCTGAGCCAGTTCCGGAACTGACAACGACAATTACGCCTACAACCACATTGTCCTTGGCCCCTACGCAGACACCGTCGGTGGAGTTGACGCCGGAACAGGAATTCAACTTAAAGACAGGATTCGCTATTTCTAATGCGACTTCACTGCGGGAGTATGTGTTCAATATCACTCGGGCACAGCACTCGCCTGATGGGTTTGAGAAGTCGATGATCAAAGTGAACGGCCAATCCCCTGGACCTCTCATCGAAGCAAACACCGGTGACACGATCCGCGTCACGGTTCACAACCACATGTTGGAGGAGAGCACAACGATTCACTGGCACGGCATCGATCAGAGGAATTCCGTGTGGATGGACGGTGTCCAGGGAATTACTCAATGCGCCATTCCTCCGGGGGAAAGCTTCACTTACGAGTTCAACGTCACCGACCAACGAGGGACATTTTGGTGGCACGCTCACGTTTCGGTTCAAGTCACGGATGGACTCTTTGGACCTTTGGTGAGACAGCCCTTTATCTCCTGGTTACTCCTACACTACTGATCATCATGATGGAGCCTGTGCTGAAAACGTCGTTGCTAACCTTTTGCCTAGATTATCCATGACCCTGATGAACAAATACCACATGTAGATGACGACAAGATTCTTATGGTTGGAGACATATTCCACGAATATGCAGACACTGTAGGCAAACCTTTCGCAATGCCAGTCGCCACCATGATACATATCTAACTCACCAGCCAGCTCCTTTCTCAGTACTTGAGCGCCACTCCACCGTGGGCTCCCAAGAAACCAGGTAGAGAGCCTCCGCCAGACAACGTCATCATCAATGGCATGAACACCTTCAACTGTTCTAGTGTGGCATCCCACAACGCAGGCGACGGAAAGTCTAGCGAAGACCACAGTGGTCACAACATGGGAGACCACCACTCGGCAAGAGATTCCAAGTGTACCGGGGGCGCTCTCTTCAATACGCGCATCAAGAGCGGATCGAAGGCTCGATTGCGTCTTATCAACCATGGCACATCGACCCCGATAGTTGTGACTGTCGACAACCATACTCTTGAGATTATCGAGATTGACGGGGTCGAAGTGGCCCCGATCGCAACCACACGCGTTTATATGAACCCGGGCCAGCGTTACTCTGTCATCGTCAACGCTAACCAGACCGCTGGAAACTACTTGATCCGCGCAGACGCAGCCATCCGATGCTTTCACATGTCTCATAAGACCAACGAAGCCATGTCGGGGATGCATGGCAAGCCCTTTGGTGCTACCGCCATCCTATCATACGATGAGACGGATGTCGGCGCCGCGCCCATCGGAAAGGCTTGGGACCTGGAAAGCAAGTCGAACTTGCAAATCGGCAAGGAGCCATGGGGGAGGAGATGCGAGGATCTGCCGTTTGACCTTCCAAAGCCGATGAGAAACAGGCCTGCCTACGATGTTGGGGAGAGGAACCATCACTACTTTACGTTTAGGCAAGACCGCGTAGGGGACGTCGTTCGCACTCATGTGAACAAGGTAAGCCCGTCCGCCCGCAAAAGAATGATATGGGAATCCGCTAATGGCCACAGACTATATACACCCCACTCAAGGACGACGCATCACTTTGGAAAGTTCTACAGCAGGATATCACACCGGAGAACCTAAACTCGCCGGAGCCCAAGTTGGATTTCGGTCAGGACCAGTTCGTTTTGGTTTCCCAGGACAACAAGGCTGCGCAAATCGTGGTGAATTCTGACGCTATGATGATTCACCCTTGGCACTTGCAGTAAGTGGATGCTCATTCGATTCCGAGGAGAGACCCAGAGCTAACTAGTCTCCAGTGGTACGAACTTGGCATACCCTGCCTCTTATGACGTTTGTAGCAACTAACCGACTGTAGGTCAAAACTTCCAAGTCATCGGATGGGGCAAGGGTTTGTTCGGGGCCACTGAGACGACCTGGAACTTTGACAACCCAATGCGTCGCGACACGATCACAATACCTGGCTTTTCGCATATTGTGATTCGCATTCTTGCAGACAACCCTGGGGTCTGGGCTTTCCACTGTCACTATCTCTGGCACACCGAAGGTTCGTTCACGTCTCGCATGCTAACTTTGTTGCACAATGGCTGACCTCGTTCTCCCAGCTGGCATGTTTGTCTCGATTGCTCAGCGTATGGGCGAGCTCTCTAATCTGCTCGGCACACTGGATGCCAATGGTGATATTGGAGCCATCAAGAAGAAATTTTGCCCCATTCAGAACGCACAAGCTGCCCCCGCTGTGCCACATTAGATTGCTTAGTTGGTCGGATTTGTATGATGAAGGCGAGCCAAACCATAGCGGTGTTTTGATAATCAGCATAATTGAGAGCTAGATTGCTATTTTGCACGGCCTGGTGGCTGGTGATACTTTCCCGGTCAGTCAAGCACACCAACCCTGCAGGAAACTTTTGTTTCTCGTGATGAATTGACGCGCTGAGCCAAACTTCTTTTCTCCGCTACTCGTATTTGGAGCTGAGATGGGTGTGATCGTACTTATAATGACTGTACTAATCAGGATGAACGCAAAGAATCACAGTCCGTGTCAGGCACGGCAACTACCAAGGCATTCAAAAGTCAAACAAGTGACTGCCGGCCTGGCCTCAGCTGGAGTTATCCTGAGGGACAAATTTGGTCCCAAGAAACATTTGCATGCCACAGTTTTGGAGGGGTCGACAGTCGCTACGAAGCGCGGGCTACCAACAAACCAAACCACCAATGGACTATATTGAGGATGAAAAGATTTTGGTCTTTTTGGCCCAGCTTTCGATGAAGCTGTGGCCGTCAAAACTCCTACGTACGACCAAGACTCGGATATATGGGCGCAATGGTTCCGAGCATATTTGTCATGGCGAGATGTTTTCCATCTTGGCTCCCCCATAGTTTACAGACCAACCGGGTAAAGCCGACACGCGATTTTCTGGAGAATGCTGAAATGCTCCGTCTTGGTTATTTAAGTCAACGAAAAGTAGGAGAAACAGTTCGCGGGATTTGACGACCTTTTTGTGAAGCCCATAGATCTCCTGCCACGGTACCTCCTTGGAGTCCGGATTGGAAAAGTCCTTTTTGCCATACGGAATACATACGTCACATCGGCATACAGAGCTAAGGTATATTAGAGAACACTTCTTGGCTATTAAGTGCTACCGCTGGATGGGGAAAACCGATGCTTAGAACGTCGCGTGGAAACGTGGGTCCTACTTTGCCCACACGAGGTCGGTAACAGCATATTTCTCGTGCATGATTCCACGGCACCTTTGGTGTCCCGGAAACCCGTGGAGCGTTGATTGTTAGTTGGCGAAGCTTACATCCAGGGCATAATGGACACGGAGGCTGTTGCTGAAAACAGGCGACATGATATCGAATGAATAGCAACTCGGCCCCAATTCATATACACATACGGAGTATGTAGACATTGGTATAAGTATCCCATGCGACCTTAGCTAATAAAGATGTATTTCTGTCCAGCAGTAACTACGAAGCTTGTAAATCAGATTATAAAACTCATTGCGTAATGTTGCATCCGAGGCCGGTGTTGCATGACTGAATGCACGATTGGAAGGCGGCATTGTCTCCTTTGCTGAAGAAGCAGTCATTGCGGCATAGTGTGCACTACATCAAAATGTCAGCCAGCGTGCGCGTCTAAAGCCAGGGTTGATAATTCGCCTACCTCTGTTCTCTCAGCCTGGCGCGCTTCAAGCGCAGGAGCAGCAAGGGCGATGCCTGCAAAGAGGGCGACAATGATAGCTGAGAACTGCATGGTGCAAGGATGTAGTTGTGGCGGTGGTGTTGATTAATTAAGGACTCAGTCTCCGAGCTGTAAAGGTCTCAAATATGACTGAGAACGTGAGAGGTACTAGGTAAAAGCTGAAGATAAGTATATATAGATGTGTGTGTGTGATTGTATGTCTGAGAGCTGTTGTTCCAAAGACTCAAAAGACGAGACGAAGTTGCGTGTCCTTAAATGCCTTTTTCTTAAACTTCCCTGGTGCAGCAGTAACTAACGTTGGATCTAAAAACGCTGGAACTTGACTCGACATACTGTAAATGACACAAACCTGACACAGCCGTAGACCCTTGTCTATCCTATAATATTAAACTTAAGGACAACTGCGACTCCGTTATTTCGCCGACCCCACACTAAATACTAAATGCCTTTCTGTTAATCAAAA